GGCTCCACAAATGTCGACTCAGAAATCACTTTCTCATGGGGCCAAGGACATTTCAAAGTTGCTGTGTTTTCTCTGTCATTTCCTTCCCTCCTCCCCCTTCACTTCCTGTTTTTTTCTTCCTCTTTCTCCACCCCCACCCCATCTCCCCTGGCATGTCCCATGTTGTGTGAGAACAGGAACAAAGCCAGAGCCAGGGAGCGTTGATAATCGTGACTTCCTGCAGTGCCCTCTTGCTGGCGCTGCCCAGAGCAGGGGCCAGCTCAGCCTCTGGGGGAGCCCGTGACCCCGAGGGAGCCCGGCAGGAAGCCTTCATCTTTAATATAATGAGAGTAACCCTTCATGTCCTTATAATGGCTACGGCTTCCAAAGAACTTCCTTGGACATTTGAGCTAAAACATTGAACAAAGTAGACGGTTCTGAGTATTTTGACCTAACAACAAACTGTAGTCCAGTTTAGATGACCAAAGCAGATTTAGGAGTTAGACACGGGTTTATTTTGGATTCTGTGTTCTATTCTCTTTTTGACTTTGCAGATCATTCTAGCTCTTAAAAGGTTAGTTTTCTACCTCTTTGCAAAATGGAGTTAATGGTATTTCACAGGGATTTCTTTGAGGACAGTTTAGGAAAATGTATCCATAAAATTCTCACAGCACACCTGGAAGGTATTTGCTTAATGAGTGTGAACTTTTTTATTCCCTGTGATTTTCTATGATTTTCTTCACAGACGTGTGGCCGTTCCAGTGCACAAAAGCCAGAAAATACCTCCTGATAAATGATATTCCACATCTTATGCTTCAGGGAGGGAGAGGGGAAGAGAAAGAGAGAGGGAGACACCTGGGTGCACATGTGCTTCCCACTAAAACCCAGAGCCCACCCCGATCTGTGTCACTGTGTCCATGGGTCACGGTATTCCCTGACAATAGTCTTCTAATGGAAAACAGGGAGAAGCATCCTGACCACTTGCCAGAGGTGAACTGTTTTACCAATTTAGCTCCCAGGGGTAAAACTGCAAAAACAGCATTCTGGAAAAAGTGCCACATCCCCGTTTGAAAATCTATTTGGAAAAAAAAAAAAACAACAGAAAAACCTTCCCATGCAGGGTCAATGACCACTTGTTTGAGAAGTCAACCTGACCATGTGTCTGCATTTTAAAAAATTCCAAAGGCCAGAGAGTCAGAGTCATGCTTCCGTGTGTATTCAGCTCCCAAATTGCTGAATCCTCAAATGAGGCAGTTTTGTTCTCTGACTCTCAACCTCCACAACCTAAGAATTTTATCAGATCATCTCAGAGATCTCCTCCAGCCTTGGTAATCTACAATCTTGTGATTCTCTCTGCTCTCCTTAAAGAAGTACATTGTGACTGAAGGAGAACAGGAAATTGTCTCTTTAGTAACATGACTTGCATTCTCTCGCAGCGAGGTACCACCATCTTCAGGACAGAGAAGCTACAGGACTCCAGGAGGCCACGCACGGCCCTGACTCTGGGAGACGGACTTGCCTTGACCAGACAGTGGCTTAGCTGGTTCATCTCATCAGCCTGGATTGGTGAAACTGAACCATAAGAGATATTTCCAGGTAAGGAGCAACTGACTTTGGTGATAGCACATAACACAATAATAACCAACATCGTAGTGCAGGAAGTATGTGTGTACATGCTTATAGAAGACTTGAAACTACTAAGGATATTCATTTGACCCAACCTGTCTTCTTTGATTAGAAGCCATGCCTCCTACCTAGCATCACATACATCTAGAGAAAGATAACTTCCCACCTCCACAAAAAAAGACATAAATAATAATTGACATGTATTTCAAGGTGACTGTCATTTTGAAGTAAAGCCCCCTGGGGTTCTATAGCTGTATTTTGAGTGGGATCTGTGCTGTCTTGAGTCTTTGGAGTGTTTAGGCATAAATTAAAGTAGCAGGAGAGGAGCAGATTGGAGCTGTAGGTTTAGTGTCCTTTTTCCTGGCAGAACCCATTTAAGATTGAGCTGGTCAGTGTTGCTTTCTGCTCATCCTGGCCTAGCAGATTTAGACAAGCAGGAGGAGAAGTCCTTTTGTAGCCAACCTAAGATGAAAGTCAAGTCTCATGCTAGAAATCTGACTTGCATCCCACTTGCTGTAACATTTTTAAAGGCAAATTTAATTCATGAAGTTATCATTCAAGAGCACTTGCAGTGGGCGGGCTACAGATAATCCCTCCATTGCCCTCTTCTGGCCACCAACATGCTGGTTCCGTCTTGTTACCATTCTCCTCTCATCTCCTCCCTATCAGTTATGGATACTTTTCTTTCTATGTGCAAGGATATGGCCACATCTGTTTACTTGAATGTCTTCATTGGGCTTGGACCTGTTATAGGCTGTCATTCCTTCCAGGTGACTAAAGATCTGATGAGGGTCCATCTCCCGGGACCCTGGCATCTCCGTTAGGAGGAGGGTGAAGAGCTTTGGGAACTGACAGACCTGACTTCAGATCTTAGCTCTGCTATGTACTGGTTCAGTCATTTTGCTTAGATTATTTGAATTCCTGAGCTTTTGTGTCCCCACCTATAAGATGGGCCAGAATGTTCTGTGCTGTAGCTGGTGCCGATTAGTAAATGAGATCACACCTGAGCATCATTTCTTACTAACAGGAGACCTCAGCAAGTGTTAGCTCCTTCCCCAGCCAGCCTGTTTTAGAGTTACTTAAATATAGCTTTGATCTCCTGTCTGGATTCCATTGGAATCTTGTACCTAAAATCTAGGGGCAGGCTTTGTTCACAAACGCCATTAGGTCCCAGCATGTTAAAGAGAAGAGCCTTTCAGAGCCCTCTTCAGAGCCCTTTTCAACTGCAGTCTGTTCTCTGGGCTTGGTCACCTGTCTCTCTGGGCTGGCATTGGACAGTTTGCTCTGTCATATCCAAATTTAGGATCGCCACACCCACTCTCATGAGTTATTAGCTGAACACTAACTCCCTCCCAGTGGCTTTTCCCCTCGAGTCTAACATACTCCAAGACCCAGATGATTGGGCCACTTGATTTGGGGCAGGTTCATGGCCCAGCATTCAGCAAGACAGTTATGGTTCAGGCTCATGTGCATCCAGGGATTTCTTCCTTGCCTGCTGGCTTTTCTAGGGATTTCATTCAACCGGTCATCCATCTGGTCAACACATAGTTGTGGAGCATGGACTAGGCAGCATGTAGCAGGTACTGAGAACAGCAGAGGACAAATCCAACTTACT